ACTGAGAGAAGACCACAGAAAGCTACGAAAGAGACTTGAAGCTACCATGTGTACAATGAAGGAACAAAGGCATCATACCATCAGCTTCGGTTCTCGCACATGCAGGCTGCAAGCACTCATTCTGTCTGAGCCACGACACAGAAAGCAGCGTTTACGACGGAGAACTTTGTGCCTACGACATCCGACTCTCAAACGCTACAAGTACTTCGACCCTTGTTCATTCATGACGAGAATCGCTGTGTCATCAGTAATTTCTACGTTCAAGGCGTGCTTCAGTTGGCCAGAACGCAACAGTCAACCTCGCCCACCAGAGTTGTCATAAAATTCATCGGACTGCTGAAGAGGCCTTGAAGATTTCGTGAGATTGTGGAACTCCGTCTGGACGTAAAACTGTGAATTTGGGCATTGTTTTGTTCATTCACTTCTTTAATTTGTTATAGTTTGTAACCAGTGCCATCTTTCGGGGGGAGGGGGAATCGGGGAATCGTGTGACGTAGGAAGCGATGGTTGGTAGAGGCAGAGAAGGAAGAAGTGAGAGATGGAATAAACATGGTGTATGAGCCACGCCACGTCACCCGTTGATCATAACGTTACATATATATATATATATATATATATATATATATATATATATATATATATATATATATATATATAGAGAGAGAGAGAGAGAGAGAGAGTGGGGAACACGATAGAATAAGAAATAGGGAATAAAAACTTTGGTTGGTTTATCACTATATATTTTCACTAACGTTTCGTCTGGTGGACCAGTCTTCGATTACTTTGATAAAGTCTGGTCGACGAGACGAAACGTTAGTGAAAATATACAGTGCCCTACCACCAAAAGTCTTATATATATATATATGTATATATAATTGTGCTATTGCATTTGAAAATCTAATTTGCTTGCTTCTTTATGAAGCTTGTAAACAGTTGCCCTTATCATCATTGAATTTGTATCATCCCGATAGCTCGATACAAAGACAACGCCTGTTCCTTAGCTGGCTGTTCTGTATTCTGCCTTTGGCTTCCTTCTCTTTCCTATTCTAGCTCCTCGTGCACCAAAGCCCAGATGCCACTGCTGTTAGTCATCACACTCGGCCATGACTGGGTACACGTGGAGCTGCGAAGAGTGCTTCAGGTGGGCGGGGTCGGATGCATTGTGGTGGTCGGCTCCAACCACGCTGGAAGTTTGTCGAAATTGGCTCCGGCGGCCAACACTGGCCATGTCGCCTGGGTCGTTTGTCATGTCGCGGTGGAGGCTGGGTCCTGGTTAGTCACTTTGTTGATGATGACTCCAAAGGATGATATTGACTGTGGTGTGGCAGTCGACAACCTCGGCCACGCTGCGACTTTTCAGAAAAAGCAGTTCGAGTTTGATTTTCTTTTGGTGGACTGAACAGGCAGTCTCGTGATAATCGAAGTTCCCTGCAGTGATGTGGGTTGGAGTCCAATTTCCTTGGTGATGGTTCTGGTGGGCGGTCCTGACTGGATTGACATGATCGCAAGTTGATCCCGGCAAACTTGCCTTTTTGTCTCGCCCCATATTGAAAGACAGGGCAGGAACTGGTGGATCGGTCAACGAAACATATAGCACTATAAACGGCCGTCTGTGCATTTTGCAGTGGGTCGAGAGGGGCCTGTGTCCTACTCGACTTCTGCGTCAACGTATGGTGAAGTTCTCGCGCTGACCTGCGACATGGCTAGTGCTGTTGCAGAGGTTTCGCTGTTGATTTCTTGAGTGGTCAAGTCGGCACTCTTTGAAGCCTCGCTGCGCAAAGGCGGGCGATCATCAACGGATGCTGTTTCAACAGAGGGCTTGGGCTGCACATGAAGGTGTTCAATGAAGTTGATGTCAGACTTCTTACAGACCTTCGTGTCTTCTGAAAACTCTTCTCTGAGCAATTCATTAGGGCCCTTACGTTCAGCCAATGAATGCATCACATGCAGATCCACATCAGTCTGGTCAAAGAAGATGTTGATGGAATCTATTGAGATGCGCATACTAGGTGATAGAACGTCCACTGTAACGTGGGCTTGTGCATCCACGTGCTCAAGGGATGGTGAGCATGGGTACAGATTTCCCAATCAATATAGATGCTAAAAGCCCTCGACCATTGGCATAGGTATTTTGGCGCCCAATACTGAGGCAAAGCCAGAGCATGGCTTAGTCCTGTGTCGTTATTAAGCCCAGCTGTGTAGCTCTCTGCAGGCCAGCTGCAGCACGCAGTTACAGCCTCGAGGCGAGGCACTACCTGAGCTTCGTCCTCGGGGAAGATCGAGCTGGATTTGCTGGAGTTGCAGGGAATCCGGCTGAAGGCGGCAGGCAGGGCTGCACTCCATTCTGCCCAGGGCTGCTGCCTGACACCTTCGTACCTGTGCCATGCCGGGGCATCATTCCGAAGGCGGTCCACAGCCACACCCCACTTCTCTTGCTCGGTTCACGCATTGCGAGAAGCGAGAGTGTTCACTGTCGCCACCCATTCGTCGGCGCTGTTTTAGAACCCGTGGAATTACGGTAGTTTGCAGAGTGCCGGCGATAATTAGACAACAGGTGAAAATCCAGAGTTGCTAAACCGCCAAGTTGTTGCGAGAGCTATGCGAGGACACACGTGAGGTCTCTGCGATTCTCGGCTGAACTGGATTCTATGTGCTGTAAGGTGGCCACAGCCAGCAGGGCATTCATTGCACAGAATGTTGATACAGCAGCAGGACATATCATGGAACTCTGCATTATCGAGACGTTAAGCTCAAAGCGGAGTTGCGCCAGGGTACGCCTCAGCTGTGGCGTGCTATTCGATCACCCGTATGTGAAGCCAGTGGCGATGTTGGGGAAGTAGGAGTTGTCGGTTGTGGTTGTGGTAGCGAGTTCCTTGTCCGAGGGAGCTTGTACAGCATCCCAAATCCGCTTGAGGGGTTCATAGAGCCTTCAACGAGAGGGTGTCGCGACGGAAAGCATGAACAGCGTTCCCGGGCAACGGGAGAGTGCGCGCTGCTTTGGCGATGCCGGGGTGCGCCAAGGAAGCCCAAGCGACATACCTGCCAAGTCTCCCGGGTTGGCCGGGAGACTCTCGCATTTTGACCGTTTTTTCCGGTTGTATGGTTGTCATGAAGATCGCCCGGAAATCGAAATTTCCTTGCCTGATCTGGCCGCATTTATAAAAAAGCAGCTCAATCCGCTCCAAGCTTTTCGAACCTATACCCCATTTTAATATAAATGAATTTAAGAGGTGTTCATGTAAACATATAGTATAATCTCAGTGATGTGAAACCGCGGCAGATACGAATCCTTGAAATTTTCCAGCCAAATTTTTACTATGACCACTGGGCCTCAATGTTCCAACTGCATTTTCTATTCACGGCAGGTGATACAAACTGTAGTACCGAAACCGTCGTATGAAGGCCAAGAGCAGCGTACTCGAAGCTTCGAAAGTACGCTTGCGACCGGCGCAAGCACTTTCTTCTACAGTGCCTGTGATTGTCGTTGCCACAACCGCTGTGGACGAAACCGCAGTCGATCTTGACACGATCATGTATAGCCACGACGTAACTAACAGAACCCCAAAAGTGTGTGCTCAACCAGTCAAAGCAACACTGCTTTCCGCAAACTCTGCGTACAAAACTGTGGCAGTGCCCCGCCGCGGTGGTCTAGTGGCTAAGGTACTCGGCTGCTGACCCGCAGGTCGCGGGTTCGATTCCCGGCTGCGGCGGCTGCATTTCTGATGGAGGCGGAAATGTTGTAGGCCTGTGTACTCAGATTTGGGTGCACGTTAAAGAACCCCAGGTGGTCAAAATTTCCGGAGCCCTCCACTACGGCGTCTCTCATAATCAAATGGTGGTTTTGGGACGTTAAACCCCACAAATCAATCAATCAAAACTGTGGCAGATGCAATCGTAGATGGCATAAAACGACTTAGTTTTGAAGGCGCTTGCGCAGCCAAGCACATGAGGATTGTAAAATGAACTACTGTTTCTTGTAACTACCGCGCACTAGCGGTCTTGCAATAGCGGTCTACGAGATCCGAGGGCACTCAGCAGTAGGTTAAAGGCAGTAAATACATAACAAATTTTAAAAAAAGTTATAGTTGCACCGCAAGGGTGAAGCAATAAATGCGACAGCAACAACTTGGAATGTAACGCTGAGAACGGCAAGCAGATCGAAACGTGCAGCGTGTTGCTCACACACAAATGACACACGAAAACAATACGAGAGCGAACAATGTTTACTGCTCAACGTTTACCTGAAGGTAGCATGGAGGTAACAACGTTTACCTCCATGCTTTTTCTCCTCTTGCTTTCTCTCTCACTTCGTGCAGAATATGTCAGATTTTTTTCGCCCCGTAAATTAGGCAGTTGAAAACAAAAGAAAGCTCCTTTTCGGGCTACCGTGTGGTATGAGCATCAAATATAAATCACTTTTAATAAAAATTATTTCTCCTCAACCAAATCAAACATATTCATTTTCAGGTTCGTGTCGATCTCTCGTGGAATCGCCCGTTAATAATATACCCACGAATAGGTAACCGAAATCAGCCTCCTATTCGTGAGGGCAATGCATGTGACAGCAGTATTTATGGCCTTTGGTTAAACAGAGGGATTTCCAGCGACGTGGCAAGTAAAAAAAGCTTTTTTGTTTAGCGTTACAAGGTAAAAGCTCATATTTCGCATCCGAGATGCATCCTGATTAAGGGTTTTCTTCCTGCCGTTCCTGCCGTTCTAGTTACCAGCTATGTCCTGGTTGAACCAGGATTCCACAAAAGGTCCGCGTACTCTAAGTTGATGTGGTGATTGTTCACCTATTCTCGGTGCGGTTCACTTCTGCTCAGTAGATCGTTCACCTATGTTTTTATAACTTGATGGTAGCGTTTGTAAAAAAAGAAATGATGGCAGTAACATTGCTCAAGAGAAAGGGGGTTGGTGTCCGGTTCCAGGAACAGGCTAACGAAGAACTCGTGCACATGACTGCTGTTGCGTTCGATGAACCCTCCCCCTTTGCGCAGGCGCTGGGATCAAAGAAAAGCAGTCGCTTCACTTTGTGAAGCTAAAGAGGAGCGCGAAGACGCCCAGCTGGTTTTCATCTACTCGGAGGCAAGGACACAACACCGCGTTTCCGCCAAAGACGGAAGTTGGACCCCCACGCTGGGCGTCTCTGACTGTTGGGCCGCCGATGCCCAAATCAACACCAGATGTCTAGGCATTAGCCCTCGGAGAAGCCGAGCCTGGGACTGTCGTCCGACAAAGCATCGGTGGTCGACCCGAGCACCCCGCTCACTGGAAGCAAGCTTCGTATCGCTGGCACCATATGCGTGTTGATGTTGTGTGTGTGTGTATGTTGAGAGTGGTGCCGGCATGATGACGCTAGGAAGTACTGTAGGACCTTTTATTGGACAGCGCTGTCTGGACCCATTTCCCGATCAAAGAATCTGGGTAGAAAGTACTCTATATAATGAGCTCCCCCTGCGCCTTCAAACAGGCTCTCGAAATGTATACAATGTAAATAAACTTTCTTCAAGTCTCCCTTCCTCCTGCCTCGGCGTCTTCACCCCAGATTTCTGGTGCCGCAAGGGCCAAACGCAACACTGCTGAAAAGCGCATGCGTGTATTCTCGTTCATCTGGCCACTGTGCTTCGCACTTATCGACTCGGCAGTTGATGCTTGCATGTTCAGGTTGAAAGTAATGAGTGGCTGTACCTGACAAAAAAAGTTAAAGTTGCACCACAAGGGTGAAGCAATAATTGCGAACGCACCAAATTGTAATGTTATATGAAGTGAGGCTGGCAGCCGTTATGGATCCGATTTCACGCAACTGTTAAAAAAAAAGCCGCAGTTTCTCCGCAAGGGTGAAGTAATGAATCCCATGGAATGTAATGCAGAGAACGGCAAGCAGATCAAAACATGCAGCGCACTGCTCATACACAAATGACACACGAAAACGATACTTGCAGGACGAGAGCAAACTAACAACGTTTACCGCTCCACCTGTAATGCGCTGTTTAAACAGAAACAATGTACGATAAGTAATCACAGGTACACATGAGTACAAACTCACAAGTGTCCCAGTTATTATACCTCGCTGTGTAAGAAAAGCGCGCTGTTTTTGCAAAAGGGGCCTGTATAGAGACCAAAGTTACCTTTGTGTACGACTAGCGTACGACTAGCATAGGCGATGTATGACTAGTGTAGGCGATTACTCGCTCGATACATTCCAGCCATTGCAGAAGTACGGCTCCTAGGCCGACATTATTTGCATCTGTGTACACTTCACTGTTGGCCTTTTTGTCGAAATTACTGAAGATTGATGGAGTCTCGAGGCATCGTCGTAGCTTGCAAAAAGCTTCGTGTTATTCTGGGGCCCACGCATAAGCAAGGTTGTCTCAGAAATTTGTGGAAAGGTTCTGATATTTTAGAAAAGTGCGGAATGAAGCAATGATAGTGTGCACAAAGACCCAGAAAACCGCGTACGTCATGTTTGTTCGCTGGAGTTGGGAAGGCAGCGACAGCCTGTGTTTTGTCGGGGTCTGCGCGAATTTCATCATGGTTGACGACATGGCCAAAAAAAAATGAGCTCCTCGTAGCCAAAAGGGCATTTTGGGGGCTTGAGGGACAGGCCAGCTGTTCAAAGCGCCTTAAGTACTACACAAAGACGCTGAAGGTGCTGCTCAATGTCGGTGAAAATACTACGACGTCATCTAAATAGCCAAGATACAGTTGCCACTTGAGACTGGAAAAGACTGTCCGTCATTTGTTGAAAAGTCGAGAGAGCAGAGCACAGTCCAAAAGGAAGCACTTTGAATTCGAAGAGCCTGTCAGAAGTAATGAAGGCGGTCTTTTCCCGGTCACGCTCATCGTCCTGAATTTTTCAATAACCACTGCGTAGATCCATGGATGAAAAGTATCGGGCGTTTCTAAGGCAGTGGAGTGAGTCATCGATGCGAGGAAGCGGATAAACGTCTCTTTGTCACGGTGTCCAGTTTGCGATAATCAACACATAAACGCAATATGCCGTCTTTCTTTTTCACCAACACAACCGGTGATGCCCAGGAGCTTGTAGATGGCTGAATTGTGTCGTCAGCAAGCATTTGTTGCACTTGGTCGTGGGTGGTGTCTTGTTCTCTGCAGGAAACTCGATAAGTATGTTGTTGAATAGGGCTTTCGTCGAGCTCTGTTGCGATTCTGTGCTTCGCGATGGGTGTTTGTTTTATTTTGGATGTTGTGGCAATGGAATTACTGAAAGAAAGCAGGAGGGAGCGAAGACTCTATTGCTGTGAAGTCGACAGTGAACAGTTCACATCAAGCTTAACTGGAGGCTGTCTGTCGTCGTGAGGACCGGAAGAGAGTTGCGCGAGTGATAAGCTGGCTTTCGAGTCTTCGATTTCTTCGAAGTAAGCGATGACACACTGTCTCATGAATTGCTGGTATTTATGACTGAAATTTGTTAGTAGAATTTTCGCAGGCTCTTGTGTCAGTGCTATGAGACCACGAGCGACGCATACTTCAGGAGACAAGAGCACAGACACATTGCCTTCCACAACTCCGAGAGCCGTTCAGTTGATGTCACTCAGCTTGTTAACCAAAACACTGGAACGGGGCAGTACTGTCACTGGATCGTTGGATACACGCAGCGCCATCATAAGCGATTCACAATCCTGAAAATGTGCGTTACGTGAAAACGTCATCAGCAATTCTCGGAGATTTATAACAACCCCATATTCTCAAAGGAAGTCTAATCCCAAGATGACCTGCCTGGAGCATTCCCGCAGTATGACGAAAATTCCGATGAAGGTCGAAGTGCCAATATGTACTCAGGCAGTGCACCTTCTAACTGGCGTCACTAGATGACTACACGCGGTACGGAGCTGCAGACCGTTCCATGGCGTCACCACTCATAATAGAGTAATCGGCGCCAGTATCCACAAGTGCGGTGGCCGAGTGATTGTCGGCAGTTATAGAAATATCAGCAGAATTTGCTGCATCGCGTTCAAAAAATTTTGTGACAGAGAAATCGCCATCGTCGACGTGTCGGGGTGGAGGGTGTTTGTCAGTTTGGGCAGCAACAGCGGCACCACCCCCAGAGGCCGCTAGCCTCAGTTTTTCTGGCACTGGCCAGAATTTGGGGACCTATTTCGTACACCAGAGAACGTGGTGTAACGACTAAGCGAGTCGAGGCGTCGAGAAGAAGGTGAGCGTGGCCAGTGGCTTTGTACAGGAAAGAACAGCTGCTGCGCTGCTAGGTATTGAAAATCTCACGAGGCCGCTCCCCGTTGCTGGGTCGACGTGCGTTAAGGTGAAACCCCTGAAGGCCAATCCTGCTATATGAACACTGGTGGTACAGATGGCCCGCTTCGCCGCAGTGGTAGCAAAAGGGGCCTGTTGTCAGAGGTGCGCCATATGTCAGATCTACGGGTGACTTCGCACGAAACATCATGCTGGAAAGTGCTCTCATAGTTATTTGCAGGTGCAAATTGACAGGCCAATGGTGAAAAAGTAGAGGGTGGCCGGTGTCCGGTAGAAGGTTGAGGACTCCTCAATTCTTCGGCTTAAGACAGAGCAGTAGTTTTCCGAATGCATTGGGAGCAATCGTTGGGTAACATTCCTGAGTTAATCGTGAATAATTTCACCCAGAATTGTCGCACTTGGGTGAGTAGAAGTGGGATGAACTTTTTCGAGTTCTTCACGGACCATGTTCCGCACAAGCTTCCGGAATGCTGATAAGTCTTGTCTACAGGTGAAAAGCAACACCGCGGCGACAGAAGCTTGGCGGTCGTACTGCAGAGAGCGTTTCTGAAGTGCTCGTTTCATGGTAGTAGCTTCAGCGAAGAACTCATCGACAGTGGTTGGGGGCTCGCGTATGAGTCCTGCAAAAAGTTGCTCCTTGACACCCCGCAGGAGTAGTCGAACATTTTTTGTCTCATCCATCTCTGGGTCAGCGCGCTTTAACAAGCGTGGCATGTCTTTGAAAAACATACCCAGGTTTTCATTTGGATTCTGAACCCGGCTCTGCAGAGCCTGCTCGGCTTTTCTTTCCTTTCGGGATTTCTGAATTCCAGGCCTAGCTGTCGCTGAAATTCTTGCCAGTTGGTGATTGACGGCTCATGGTTCTCATACCAGATGCGAGCATAGTCTTTAAGTGCGAAATAGACATAGCGAAGCTTCTTGGTTTCATTCCATTCGTTGGCGGCTGCAACCCGATCGAAGTGGTCTAGCCAGTCATCTACGTCCTCGAACACATCATTATGAAACGGCTTCGGGGTGCATGCTGTGTAGACAACGCTTGGGGTAGATGTGAGTTGGGCTACGTTGCTCTCTTGCGTCTGACTTGCCATTGTGGTGGTCATTCTTGCCGAGCTCAAGCGACCGAATTCAGGAGGTAGTCCTAGCAAGCGGCGGCTGAGGCAAAGTGCCAGGTTTCAGGTTTTCCTCCGAAATTGTTGAAATGATGGCAGAAGCTTGAAGTGGCTTGTATAAAATATCATCATCAAACGCCGAAACAAGAAGAAAGAAGACTGCTGCCTGGAGCGAGCGCGTGCTACTTTACTTCTTCTAATAAACCGTATTCGTTCGAAGCAGTTCCTGGTCTCGAGCGTCTTAATAATTGTGCCCTGAACCAAGATACTACCTCCTCGCCGGCAAGAAAGGTCAACCTGTCACGGAGCAGCAGAGAAGAAAACGGCGGAGGAGCAGATGATTGATCTGGATCGAGTGACGGGACCACGGTGGACAGTACGAGCATCAGAACGAACGATTGACAAGTAAGGAGTCATTATTAACCGCCTCAATATGAGCAAGGAAGTGATAAGGAAGAAAGGAAAGCGCTTCCCTCCCAGATCACGCGACTGATTAACGCAGCCGAGCAGCAAATTAATGATGGAGCTAACCGGGAGCAGCTGCTTACAATGCAGGCGCAGATTAAAGCAATAAGTGACAGTCTCAAGAGCGCGAGCGAGCAAATGAAAAAGTTTCTGACAGAAGACAATGCCGAAGCTTAATTCGAAAGCGTCATAGAGTACGTCATGAAATTAATGACAACCTTATCTGCAATA